TCTGCCACTGCTACAGCCACACCATTTCGTTTAGTGTCATCTCCGTTGTAGAAGAGTTTGACACCCTCTCCAATTTCTCTGGCCTTTGCTCCCTTCCAGCGGGTCTCCTGAAGGCATAGGACATGGATGTTCCTGCGCTTCATGAGATCAGCGACTTCGCGGGACTTTCCAGTAAGCGAACCCACATTTAGAGTCCCTATTCGAACTAACTTCTTTAGCCGAGGTCGTTCACTCCTCGGTAGCCCTCGCATACTGTCCACAGAACTCAGGCGAGGGCCCTGTGCGCCACTTCCGGGTGACGTCCTAGCTTTATCACGGATACTCTTTGAGACTTTAGACATATTTGTTGTGACTGGTTTCTCCATCAGCCGGCCTGTCAACCTGGCCTGACGCTGGTACCGATACCATTTTTTGCAAATTTTGCAAGGCATGGAGTTGCCTCGGCAGGGATCGAACTCGCAATTCCCCTAAGTGCAGACGTGAGCCTACACTCTTATCCACTCGGCTATCCCTGCCACTGTTTACTTATGCTTATAGGAGTAAACTTCGCTCACCATAGTCTATTATTCGCACCAGGACCCACACGCACGCAGTGAGACACATTGTATAGTTCGTCCGGACGCTCACTCTTCTTCATTTTTCTGGTCTTTTACTTAACCAGCCCCCTATTTCATGGTTTTCCGAAGCCCTTTATCACTTTGGAAACACCGATTCACGCAGTTTCTTCGCCTCCATCGCACTACTTTCGACCTTGTCTTCCATTTTTCATCATATCTGGATTACCCAAAATTATCGTGAACTATGCCTTTAACGGCCGCTACCAGCTCTTTCCATGTCATGTGGCCACATATTTACTGAGAGACACCTTGTTTTCCACTTACCGTGCCAGCCATTATTGTCAAAACTAGATCCGTCCTCTGTGGCATATGAAGGATTTTTGGGTGAAAATTGTTGCGTTGCTTTTCTTGAGGCTCAGCAGTTTTCAATATACCTTTTCAGTTAATTTATTAGCAATAGCTAATAGTTTGCATTACACATGACAAGAAATGGCATATGACGAACATTGCTTCCGAATTTCAGGAAGGACCTGATGTGAGTGACGAGTTGGCAAAAACTAAAATAGAGTTGCAATCACACCACGAGAAGGTTGCCATTTGGGAGGAAGGTCTTAAGCAGGCCCGTCAAGCATGCGAAGCCTGGAAAGCAGACGCAGAACACTACAAAATGAAAGCCGAGCAAGCTGAAATGGAACGAAATCGAGCGGTGTTCGAACGAGACCAGGTGAGAAGCTGGTAGAGCTCGAACTGTTGGCGAATTATTCTGCGAATTTAGTTGTATGTTCTAATATTTAAATTGACGAGGGTAACTAATTAATTATTCCGTGGGGTAATTACTTGCCTTGGCCGTCATCGGCCAACATTTAAACTGGTTCGGCCGTCGCCTGCAATGCAATAGATTGGTACTCTTGTTCAGTAGCCAGTGAACTTTGCTACACGAATTCAGAATTTCCATGTTTCCAATTTCACATCTTCAAAAGCTGATAGTTTCAATAGATTTCAATTGAAATAAACGGGCCAGCTTCTGGTTTTTCCTTCATCTCTTTTGATCAATCTTTCAACCTAAGCTAGTGAACCTCTTTTTCAAACAAATTTTATCCGCGTTGATGAAGGTTAGCTTCCCTCGAAATCTCGTGTGTCTTCGATCAGAGCCCAGGCCAACTAGTGTATCATTCCAGCAGTCCAATTACATTGAAAGCATGTTGTGTTGTCTTGATTGTTCATCTCCATCCTCTTGCTGAGAGTCCCGTCCACAGTGAACCATTCCCAGCAGGTCAGACCCCTTGGAATGGTACTGCGAGTGTTCAGCTCACGCATCCTGCTCCTAACAGGATAAAGACACTAGGTCGCAGTGGCCATTCAAGTTGGGTCTTGTCTTCGAACGCTGATCTATTTCTATAGTCCACATCTGCGAAGCGATGCCAAGAAGAAAATTACGACTTCCGTTTTCTGAAATAGATTTCAATCGAACACAGAGGCCAGCCACTGTGCCAGTTGTGATGTGATGACGCAATGGGTGTAACAGTGAACTCACAGGCAACTCACAGGCCTTACACGAAGGTTTGTATCATTGAAGCACCAGTTGGGCTTTGCACGTCAACGCGTGCATCATACGTCCACTGCCGATCATCTACGATGGAGTCATTCAAATGAATTTGGATTATCAGAATCAGATAGCTTTTTCTATATTCAAGCGCTGGACTGCTTTGAGAGCATCATCCTCGATATATTTCATTCGAGCAGAATTGTAGTGGTTGATCACAGCTCCGTCCACCTCGGTGGAAAACCCTTCCCTTAGTAAACTTGATAACCTTTCTTTTGACTGCTCCTAACCATTCTCTCCTCATTCTCGAAAGTTTTCGAAGAGATGAATTTTTGGTCCTAGCCCTGCTTTCCTGTGCCAGATGCGCTCACTTCGAAAACTTACCCTTATTTGTTCCAATACCTTTAACCACTTTTTCCCGTGTCTAGGACGTTTCTGAACGAAGTTACGAAATTCTGCCCTGAGCCCCGCCCACTTTGGTGCCAACCCCGCCCAGTTCGAGGATTTGACAACATTTGTTCCATTACCTCTAACCATTTTTTTTCCGCATTTTAGAACGTTTCCGAGCGAAATTGCACCCATTTTTGAAAAGAAGCTTTCACCTCGACGCGCGCCCCGCCCATCCTGGGCGGGGCTTCGCTAAGCTTATATGTGCCCAGCCCGCACAAAGCCTTGATCACTCTTCTTATTTTTTTTCCTGGCCTCGACGCCTGAATCGCGTTAAGAATCTGTGGAAAGTACCGCCCACTGCGAGAACGCCCCGCCCACCACCGGTAAGTTTCCTTTATTTCAATTGTTGACCCATCCCTCACCTTTGCACATTTTTTCACGGTGTTTGGACTGTTATGAGACCGAA